ACGAACATCAATCCGGGAGTGGAGTATATATTAACACTCCTAATAGCGAAGTCAGAAAAATTAAAATTAGAGACACGGACAATTGCTCGGTGCTTGGAAGCGAACTGTTGCGACCGGTCTTGAGGCCATTTTGAATTAAACAAATTATAGAGCGGCATGGATTTTGTCTGATAGTAAGAGTTCATTGCAGCACTTGAAGGAATGGTTCAATGTTGGTGATCACACGGGCATCGCTATTTTGAAATTACTTAGACAGATCGCTGTGCTTCACGAAGTGCACCTCCAATGGATTCCCTCGCATGGGAAAGCAAAAGCAGCCTGTCCTCAGCCTAACGGTAATGCGGTCGCTGACCACTTGGCAAAGCAGGGCTCGGTTGAGCCATTGTATTCAGTTGCCTCATTGACTTTTGACGAGCTATACTCCATCAGGAAAAACAATGACTTAAAGGCTTGGAGGGTCCCTCCATCCCATGATTAGTATTGGCGGAGATACCCTGGGAGCTCCATTGGCCTTTCCTGCGATAGAGCCGACCTGACGGCGCTGTCGAGATTTGCCAGCGGTCACCTGCGGAGTGGCTTCCTTTGCAATGGCAACAGGGTTTTCCCGGTTTGTGCAAAGTACGGAGTGAAAAGTGCGTCCCCGGAGCACATTCTGGCTTGTCTTCAAATTTCTAAGGAGACTTTTGCGATGGACCCTTTGCTTGCCCTGGATTTTTTGAGAGTGTATGAACTCATGGATAATGTCTAGCTGCAACTAGACAGTGAAGGGATTAGTCACACACACGCAGACATTAATGCTTTTGATATTATAGTAAAGTTAATAATATTATTCAGAAATTGAAAGGACTGAATAAAATTAAAGATGTAATAATATGAATGATGTTTTTTGCAGACCGCCCTTAATGTGTATCATTAAAATCAATATAGAAAATGAGAACAAAAATGTACTAATTCAAAATCAAGGCTGGAACAAAACCTCCTCAGAAATCTGATAAATCACAAGGGAAGCGTATGCAATAAACATCAAAACAGGTTTAATTGAGAGTTGCATGATGAAAAAAATTTTGCAAAAATAACCGTATTGTATGGTAATGATAAATCTAGTAAAAAAAACATAGTTTTTGAAATAAAACAGAAATTTAGACGATTCATTTGGTAATTTTTCTATTGATATAGTGACTGTTTAGTGGAAATCCTAGATTTCAAAGTTATAGCTCTTATTGCCACACAATTAGTAAAAAATACAAAACTGCAAAATATATTTTACCCAATACCTGGTTCTTATGCCATTCTCTAAAGTAACGGGATAGAAGAACGAAATATTTCCACATTTACTAAATTTTATCACATCGTATAAAACTATACTTTAATGTTAATTTTTACCGAAATCATTATTAATCATCAAAGCGCTTCGGAAAAAAAGTGATCGAGTATGTTGTTGTTCCCATCGATTCAGAAACAAGTTAAAGTTTACTTTATTCTAATAGTCTTAACTTTTTTTTTCATGAAGAAATTCGAAGGTGTTTTTAATTATCTTTGTTTTATCTCGCAAACAATCCAATCTTCATTACTCTGCATTAATTTCTTAGATTTGCTTTTTCCTCCGTTAAGTATTATTATAAGTATTAAGTAGTATTAAGTATTAAGTAGCATTACGTATTAAATAGTATTAAGTAGTATTGAGTAATAAGTACTATTAGGTACTAAGTAGTATTAAGTATTAAGTAGTAAATAAAAATTGTAAGGTAATTAAATAAGATTCAAATTGCCTAATTTAAACATTATTTTGTTCAACTGAATATTTGCAATTCAAAATTAATAGCATTTCTTTTTCATTTTATTTAAAAAATTCTGACTGAACAAATTCTATATTATTTAACAATTTGTAATTCTCTGAAAAGGAAAAAAACTATGACTTTTTTTTAATAATATAATAATTTGAAATGAAAAAATTTAACAATTTAGTGTTAGAAAAAAAATATTTGCATTAAAACTTATTTCATAAAAACATAATTCTGATTAAATGAATTTTTATAGTTAAATAATGTAACAATAATTTCATTCCTTAAGATAACAGTCTAATATTTTCTTACATATTCTGTAATTAACTTCTTCGGAAAAAAATTGAAATTAAAGCAACTGATATTAATGCAGCTATTTTCGTTAGATATATTACAAACAGATAGTTAGGCTTTGGTTAATATAATTTTTCAAACAATTTCATTAGCAATTTAATTTTTTTTTTTGTTTTGGAAAAAATTACATGTGTCTAAATAAACACATTCTACACAGTTTGGAATTATTTTATCTATGAATACTTGCTTCTAAAGTAATTGTAATCAAAGCAGTTATTTTTAATGACAATTAAATATTTGTTACTTGTGATATATTATTTGTAAATTCAGTAAAGTCAATATTATTATTCAGAAATACAAAAGGCCGAAGAGAAAGAAGAGAATGACTCTTATATAAGAATAATACAGTTACTAATAACTATTCAATTAGTAATTAAAAATTATTTTTTGAGATAACTATTGAAATATTATTATTCAGAAATACAAAATATCTAAGTGAAATGAAAGAATTACTATTATATAAAAATATTATAGATACTAAAAATTATTCAAATTAATACATAAAGACATTTTTATGTTTAAATAAATATTCGAATTGAAGCACTTATTAAAATATTTCCTTCTAAATTTAATAATAAAAATTGACTAAAATATTGATATTTTATATGACACAAATTAATTATGAAAGAAAAACAGAGTATTGATTAACCAAATCACGGTAATTCTAACATAAAAAAATATCTTTTCTTTCGTTTCATTAAAAGAATTCGCAAATCAAATTCCATTTTTACCACATTCTGTGATAAATTATTCTGAGAGTATTGAAACAAAAATAATTGATGACAATGCAGTTATTTTGAGATGATTATTTTAAGCTTGATATTTCTGCACTACAATTTATTTATTATTTAGTAATTTAAAACACTGAATTTAAATTAAGTACTTAATTTTATGTAAAAATGACCATGATGTTAAACAATTAAAAGTAATCTAACCAAATGACAAAATTCTGTTTAACTTAACGTTTGAAGATCAAACATAAATATTTCCTTTTCATTAAAACTGAAAAACATCAGTAAAAATTATTCTATTAATTATTAATTCGTTAAATTTTCTGAGAAATAAAATTCAATGTAAAAAATTGGATGTGAAGTTATTTATTGCGTATAGTAATAAATGAAAATATAAAAATAAACGAAGGTTTCGGAAAGTATGAAATTTTTATTGTTATTAAAAATAATTAGATATTTTAAAATGAATTAAAAAGAATTATTTTCTTCTTTACCAAAACAATTCAGTCTTAATAAATTATATTTTTAATTAAGTTTGTAACTAACTCTTCGTAAAAGAAACTGAAACAGAGTAACCAATATTTAAGAAGTTATTTTTAATAACTATGAGAACATTTAAAGTTTGCAATTAACTCTTCGTAAGTTTGTAAATAATAATAATAAAGTTCGTAATAAAGTTTGTACTTAACACTTCGGAAAAGAAAATTGAAACAAAGTAATCAATATTTAAGAAGTTATTTTCAATAACTGTGAGAACATTTAAAGTTTGTGATTAACTCTTCGTAATCTTGTAGATAATAATAATGAAGTTTGTAATTAACTCTTCAGAAAAGAAATTGAAGCAAAGTAACCAACATTTAAGAAGCTATTTTCAATAACTATGTGAAAATTTGATATTAGCAAAAAACAATTTCCTCTTCGGGTCATAAAGTCAAAAGACTGAAAGTAAAGTATTTAGAAAAAAACATTAATAAAAGAAACATTGATATTTAAAATTATTCAAATATATTCATAAAAACTGACTTTTTAACTGACAACTAAAGTATAAATAAAATTATTTTCATTTTAATAAAATTGCATTGATTAAACAAATTTCGACCATAAAATAAACTAAAGTAACTAAAAATTAATTAATTGAAAAATGATGTCAAAAGACTGAAAAGATGATGAGTAAAAATACTGAAAATAAAAGATTTAGTATTGGATAAAATTAACATTGATATTTAAAATGATTCTAGTAAATTCATAAAAACTTACTTTTTAACTGACAACTTAAGTATAAATTAAATTATTTTCATTTTAATAAAATTGCACTGATTAAACAAATTTCGACCATAAAATTAATCTAACGAAACTAAAAATTAATTGATTGAAAAAATGATGCACAGGCTACATTCATAAACAGACATTCGAAAATTTAAAAAAAAAAAAAATAAAGATTAATATACGATGAAAGTTTTTTTTTCTAAAATTTATAAATTAAATTTGTTACATTAATTTTTGAAGATAATTAAATATGACTCAAGTTAGTTTATAAAACTTTATTCTGTCTAATAAAATATTTCCCTTTAAAACATAATTAATCTTCATTCTTAATATTTTCAAAATATCTGAATGAAATAATTAAATTACCATTTACTTTTCTTAAAAAAAGCAAATTAAAAACGATTTTTCTATTAAAAATTGATATTTCCACATAAAAGTTCAGAAATTTTTTAAAATGTCGAATTAGCATGCATTGACTTTGTTTCTTTTTCGTAAGCATTTTAACATTGATGATACCATTATCATGATTTATAAGTTGTTTGTGAATCAACATTAATTTCAAAAACTTTTTGTTTCAGTAATTTGCTAAAATAAGATTTATTTAAAAGTAACTCAGTTAAATATAACTACAACTGTTTTAATTTAATTGTTTGTATTTCTTAATAAATATTTTTTTACATTAATGTTAAGAAAATGATTTAAAGACCATACAAATAAATGGAATTACCACGATGCAATTGATTTTACAACAAAACTCAGGAAATTATAAAACAGTTTTAAAAGCCATAAGAGTCAAACTTTGATAATTAACAGGTGACTTAAACAAAACATAAAATCACAATATAGTTGTGTGAAACTAACTGCTTACCTTTCAAAGTATAGTTAATAGCTCTTTTATCTGAGAAATTTATATCTTAGCAACAGTTATTAAGACGATAGAATCACCGTTGGATTCACACTGGCTCTAATCTCCGTGACTTGATTCTTTCGCGAAATGAGAAATTGTAGACAAATTATTCCTTCACATGTTACCTGTTAAATTATATAACATATGTATGAAAAGTCAAGAGAATAAATAAATGCCATACTCATTTTTCACTAATTAATATTAACAGTTATTGATTTTTAAAAAATAATATATATATATATATATATATCAATATATCTACGGTGTTTATTCAATCATATTTTTATTAAAATAAATACATTAATAACTTTAATTTTATTTTCTATTAGAAAATGAGTAACGACATATTTATATTATCAATTATGCATTATATTTACTTAAAATTTCAAATAAATTGTTTTAAATCTAAGAAACATGTAATGCGAATTTTTGCCGTTTTAAATTCACTTATATTCAAAACATATTCATTTTATTATTATTTAATATTTTAATAATGCAAATAACTTACTTTATTTTGAAAATACGAGTAAATTCAAAAGTATATAACCTTTAACGGATATTGATTACAGAACTTGGGAGAGCCATGTTATCTATTTTCGCACATAATTTTACAAAGATAATGTCTGTCCGGGACGGTTGGGGTTTATCCACATTTTATCAATCAGGCAAAATAAAAAGTATAACATAGTGCTTCATAATTGTTATAGAACGTGGGAATACAACTATTTCTCAGAAAATTGTTANCATAGTAATAGAAGATAAACGTTTAGAAAATGATAAAAAGAAAAGTTATAAGACAGCCGTTTTGGTACTATGAATGCATTACATAGTCAATGCCGAGACACAGAAATTGTTGATTTAAAATTATTTTTATTGCTTATTTCAGAACTAAGTTATCACTCCTTTCATTGGTTGAAAACAAAAGTTGAAATTTTATTGCTTATTGCTAACAAATATTTTATTATTAATGTCTAAAATTTCGGAACTTTAACAAGATGATTATGATAAAAATTCAAGAGCTTCTTTTGATTTTTTTAGTATAACCTATTAAATGAATCTCTAAAGTTTTTTCACGTGAAATTTAGATAGCTTAGTTTGATGCAGATAGCTGTTAAATACAGGGTTATTCATAATTCCCTCCGGGGTTTCGAAGCGTTAGAGTAAAAAAACGAAGACGAATATGGGAAAAAAGAACATATGAAATTATTCCGAAAGTATTCAGGTTTTAATTTAAGCAGTTGCCGGTAGATGGCAGTAACATGTACCACTGAAGCCAGTTGTAGTGAAGAAAAATGGCGTTTACAGGCGGAGGGAATTACGAATAACCCTGTATAATATTTTTAAGCATGTTTAAATATTTTTACAGGTAATTATTTTTTTTGAACAGTCGTTCTTCATCTCGGAAAATGCCGAGAGTGTTGCTCTTTAAAGTTGCTCGATGGGTATCTGTGAACCTAAGTCATGGAGGTGAGCAGCATCACCCTCGTCACACTACCACGGATACCTGTTCATAGGGTGGACCACATTCACACATTGCACAACAGAGAGCAACACAGAGAGAAATATTCGTGTCCTGATCTGATTCGAACCCGGAACCATTGGCTCCGCAGTCAATAACGGGGAGAAACAAAACTGGAAAAATTATGGTGGCGGACAGAGAAAATAAGATTGAAAAAACAGAACGTTAAAAACCACACTGGCCGAGAGGAGCAAATCAGGAAAAAATGCATTTCCACACGCTATGGAGAGGTGACGAGGAATTAATGTCGTTAACAAGGGAATCGACATTCATATGAATAAAATAGAATACCTGGGCATCAAGATAAGTTGATGTGCTAGGTTGGAAATAATTATAGTGAAATCGAAATTGGGCTGCAATCGAGGATTTCTCATATTTTTGATAACGGAAATATCTATCGCATTCCTTCAGTCTAAATTTTATAGCTGGTCTAGTTTGTCCGATGTAACCAAGGTCGCGCTGACAAGGAATGTTGTGAATACCCCATCGATTACTAAATCTAATAGCTTTAAAAGACTGAAATTTTTTCCAACGCAGTTACATCAGCTCACCTTGATGCCCTGGAATCTTGTTTTATTCCTATAAATGCTGATCCCCTTTTTAAAACGTGGTGGGTAGGTACTTTATTTATGTTGCGCTAGAGCTACACAATGGAATATTGGCGACGGTCAGGAAAACATCCCTGATGATGAGCAGGAGACATGCCATCGCTATTTCAATCCTCTGCAGAGAGGATGGCTCCCCTGATTTGGTAGCCCGTTAACCTGCGCGCGATGTCGAGCACTTTACGGTAGAACAGTTTAACGAGGACCGATATCACGCGCCCTCGGTCCCTACTCAGGCTGATCGAAGCTGTCTCCACCCCCCTCCCGCTTATTGACTACAGCCAGTGATGCTTGACTTCGGTGTTTCACTGGGAACAGTGTCCTTATGATCAGTTCACTGCGGGACCGATATCAACTAGAAAGTCCAAATTCTGACCTAATAATAAATATACATAACAGTGTTTTTCCATAGTTCCTTTGTGTGTCTTTACGATCAGTCCACTGCGGTACTCTTTCCATAGCGCGAGAAAAAGCATTTTTGCCTGATTTGCTCCTCTCGGCTGCTGGGTTTTTCTCGTCCGGTTTTTCATTTATTTTTCTGTCGGTTACTGTTTTTCTAGTTTTGCTTCTCACCTTTATTTTTCCATTTTTCGTTGGCAATATGCCATATACTGTCAAACAAATTATCGATGACGGAGTTTTCTTATTTCAGCAATAGAAAATATGTATTTTATTTTATTTTATTTTATAACAGACGCTGAACAACCGACCCAATATTGGGTTTACGAAAACTAATGTTCAACTCCGTAGCCTTGTAATTTTGAACCTATCCAGAAGACGAGGAACCTCCTGGATCAGTACCCCCAGAGGTATTGATTTGTTACGGAAACATGGAGGACTTTGAGACTCGACAGATTTAACGTGCATCAATCACCATTTACTACACAAGGAGTCTTTGGCCGGCGAGGATCGAACCCACGACCTCTTGGACATGGGACCAGCGCCCTACCGACCAGGCTATCCCGGCCCACGGAAATATGCATTATACGACATTCAAGTTATGGCTCAAGAGGGAAGACATTTTGCACGCAGAAAGGTTGACCCTCTGGTAAGTAGGCAACGTCGCGTAAAACTTTTACGTGAGACAGGCACGTGGCTCTTATTGATGTCGGTGCTTGCACGTAGCCTTAGATCGAGTAATTGAGAACTGCATCGCAAGGTAGGTAGGCCCCACTGGAGCTGCACAATGGGCTATTGGCGACGATCTGGAAAGCATCCCTGATGAGGTGATCGGAAGGACATCGCAACTTTGACCCTCTGCAGATGGGGTGGCTACCACAACCAGCGCGAGAAGTCATGCACTACCGCTCACACTCGTTCTCTACACAGGCTGATGAAAGTGGTCACTCACCCGCTTACTGACAGCAGCCAGTGATGCTTGACTTTGGTGTTCTACTGGGAACCATGTCTTTACGATTCGAGGGACCGCATCACTAAGAAGCAATCGAAGAAAGTGCAATCCGCAAGTGGAATCGAACTAAATTCCTTTGTGGGAAGCGTACATTACTATGACAACATTCGTTTATGAAAAGGCACCTTTAGATACAGTCCTAGTCATGTCGGTTAGTCGGGGTGCCTGAGGCCGAAGTAGCCCTATACCCCTTCATCAGGAATTGAAGGATCGTTGTGGTGATTCCTTATGGTCGTTGTTGCCTAAAAATAAAAGTAGAGCCTTTAGATACAATCAAGTTAACATGTCTTTTATACTAGTGAATTGGTATTTAGTATTAGTAGTGGTAGTTGCGCCACATGACTCCCCTTCGAGATAAGTTATCCGCGATAGAATTTGACGAACGAATACCACTAGTTAATTAATGCTGTATATATATATAT